AGGGTTATGATGAGTCAAAACACAATATCTTTCCCCGTATCTCTTTGCAGATATAGAGGACTTGCCACCTGATGTCCAAGAGAAGCTCTTCGATGAGGTGTTGGATCGAGATGTGCAGAAAGGTACCAAAGATTATTCATGTGTATACGAGTACAGGACACGGGTTACTTGTGATTCATGTACAAAAACCAACAACTAGCTCTCCACCTCCTGCTTCATCTTATATACCCGTTCTAATTAGGTTAATTGGGCTCAATACTTTCCCTCCCTTCTCACTCCCAGGACTGCACTCTGACTGTGTGTGTGCGCGCGCGCTTGTGATCATACATGTGCGTCTGTGTGTTGTACTGAAGGTATCGGAGGAGTCTTGTGACCTATTTAAGCCGCCGCAAATTGTGTTACTGGTGGGAGGTGCACAGAACAATGACACACTGGGAGTAGGTCAGTGGCGAGGAGCTCGCTTCAGCACCAGTTCTTTCTCTCTGAGCCGACGATAGCGGCCCCGAACAATGGGCCTGAGCTGGGATGATTGAATGAATGTATACATTAATATTCTGTATGTTGCCCTGTGGTTATTATCAGTGAATCTAAACATAGCCGAGGAATCTGTAAAGTTGCGTTTATAATATTTTAGGAGAAAAGAAAAATGCTGGAAAGCAGGATATGCGATGCATTTGTTTCCCCAAACGATTAGCTGCAGCGGTTGCATATCTCAAACACTCAAGATCAGGATTTTGAAGAGATAAATGTCTTTCTTTTGAGATATCAATCCCAGGTAATCTCTGGGAATCTTGTAGCATAAAATCTCTTCAAGACCCAAACTTGTCCCAGAATGTTTTTATTTTTATACGTGACCGTTTCCCTACCCTCGCCCCTCACCCGTGCATCGTCTCTGTCTGTGTGTAGAGTTGGAAGAGGAATCTCCGGTCATCAACTGGTCTCTGGAGCTGGGCACGCGCTTGGACAGTCGCCTGTACGCCTTGTGGAACCGCACAGCCGGAGACTGTCTGTTGGACTCGGTTCTACAGGCCACCTGGGGCATCTACGACAAGGACTCTGTTCTCCGCAAGACCCTCCATGACTGCCTGCATGACTGCTCCCATTGGTAAGACACCCAAGAGTCCCCATAGTCATATAATCCAAGAAACACTTCATGACTGATACTGTAAAGTATTATACAAAATGTTTTTGAATCTTACAGCAATTTTATGAACTTGCACGTCTGGCTCTGAGTACTCTGAATGATATTTACATACTTTCCTCACACGGTCAAATACAGGAGGTTTGATTACTTAGCGATGGTCAGACATGAAAGAGATGTTCTCCCTTTAACGTGTGTTGCAGTATTCTTTACATATATACGCAGGTCTATAACTAGGATGACATTAGTGAGAAATTACGTTTGAAATTTGATTCAAATGAACTTTATTTATAACTTTCTTTTAGGTTTTACACGCGCTGGAAGGAGTGGGAGTCGTGGTACTCGCAGAGCTTCGGTTTGCACTTCTCCCTGAGAGAAGAGCAGTGGCAGGAGGACTGGGCCTTCATCCTGTCTCTGGCCAGCCAGGTAATCATGAGCTTCCTCCTGGATTACTCACTTCCCTCCTCAAGTTCGCTATCGAGCGAAGGAGAGAGAAGGGCCCAGTACCATGTGGTCGGTCCGTAAAGGGAGTGTGCAAGTGGGAGTAACACTTTGAAAGTACAATACATCCATTGATGCGTTCTCGCCGGCGAATTCAAATGTCATCGTCGTAGAAATGCCACCAAGTTAATGATTTTGTGACTTTTGATTGGTTTTGGAAGATAATTAAACTGCCTGGCACACATTAATAGATGCAGGAAGTTCACCTCCTTATTTCTACTCCTATTGCACAAAAAGGACGAGCTGAGCTCGGTCTCGTTTTTGTGGTTTTGGGGAGACGGACACGCCTCCTTGTTTTGTTCTTCCTATTTTTCTATAAAAAGTGAATAGAGTTGAACTGCACGGGAGACGCAGTTAGAAGGTGGATGATGGGGAGGACATAAGCAATTATTCTAATACCCTAACATGGAGTTATAGATTGACAGACGGCTCATCTGCTCGGCTGCTGAAGCAGCACTACGTCCCGTCATGTGACCATGTGATGACAGGCGTTCAGCACAGAGAGCCGCTCCGCCGGCCGTACAAACAAACGCAGCAGAAGCTACCACGTGATTACCTCGTCTGCAGAGATGATTACAAACGCTGTATGATGTCGTTTCCTCTTCTTCTTCTTCTTCTTCTTCTTCTTCTTCTTCTTCTTTTTCTCAGCCCGGGGCCAGCCTGGAGCAGACGCACATTTTTGTTCTCGCACACATTCTTCGCAGACCGATCATAGTCTACGGAGTGAAATACTACAAAAGTTTCCGCGGGGAAACGTTAGGATACACTCGTTTTCAAGGTGAGGCGGCATTTGGATGGGCTTGTGAGATTGTGGTAGTAATTTATAAAAGGACTGTGATGCTGTTTCATTTTGAGTGATTCTTTTATTCAAAGCATGACATTACAGTACAGTCATTTAGCAGACGCTTTTATCCAAAGCGACTTACAATTCAGAGTCTATCACATTTCTACACCGTAGGCACAGCTACGGGAGCAATTTTTGGGGCTAAGTGTCTTGCTCAAGGACACATCGACATGCGACTAGCGGAGCCGGGGTTCGAACCGCCGACCCTCTGATTGAAAGACGGCCCTGCTATCCACTTAGCCACAATTCACCCACCCACCCACAATGACACTAATTGGTAACTGACATGTTCTGCTTCGGCCGACATTTCATATTTGATGTGCTGTTTACAAACTGAATTACGTGGAATTACATTTTGCTGAAGAAATAATAATAGTCCCCAGCTCCCCAGATTTTTTGACAGTATGACATACTATACTATTACTTGTCTATGTCAGATTTGAGATGATGCTTGGCCCCAGCTGACACGCACACACATACTTAAGTGCGACGTGTTCCTCCCCAGGTTTCTTCAGTGTTGTGCCGTACAGAGGTTCAGCTGGTCTTACTTGTTTCTTGTGTGTTTAGGTGTGTACCTGCCTCTGTTATGGGAGCAGAGCTTCTGCTGGAAGAGCCCCATCGCTCTAGGTTACACGCGGGGCCACTTCTCGGCCCTGGTGGCGATGGAGAACGACGGCTACGACAATCGCGGTGCGGGCGCCAACCTCAATACTGACGATGATGTCACGGTCACTTTCTTGCCACTGGTGGACAGTGAGAGGAAGTTGCTGCACATTCACTTCCTGTCTGCGCAAGAGGTAGGGACTGATGCTACAAAATCTGAGCCGTGCGCTATTGTTTTGCGCCTGTTTGTAATTTGAGAACGGAACTTAATTTGGGACCTAAATACTGAGTGAAAACAATGAGCATTATGTTCAGTTCATGGTGCTAAGTTACCACAAATTGCTTCCAGCATGCCTGTTGTTCAGTGGATGTTTCGAATTGTGGTTTCACATCTTAAATATATCACAACAATTAAACTGCATGTTTGTCTGCAACTCAGATGGGCAACGAGGAGCAGCAGGAGAAGCTGCTCAGGGAGTGGCTGGACTGCTGCGTGACAGAAGGAGGCATGCTGGCCGCCATGCAGAAGAGCTCTCGCCGGCGCAACCACCCACTCGTCACCCAGATGGTGGAGAAGTGGTTGGACAGATACCGCCAGATCCGCCCCTGTGCCTCTCTGTCCGACGGCGAGGAAGAGGAGGATGAAGACGAGTGAGTGAGAAGAGAGTGCTCCTGAATTTGAGACTGGACACTGTAGGCTCTGGGAGAGAACCGTACTATCTATATTTCAGTTTTTTTTTGGTTTTTTTTCTCCCAAAATGTAAATCTTTAACTTGTAATAATGCATGTGTTGTGTGAGCTCCGTGATAGAGAAACAGATACCAGCAACAACAAACAGAATCCTGATTACTGCTCCTATGAGAGCACATCAAGTCCACTTTATTTGCCTTCCTGTGCTCAGATTCCTCATTTGTTATCAAAGTAATTAACTTGACCTGATGGAACTACTAGAATTTATAGGAAAATATTCTGTATTTAAGGAAAATCCCGAAGCTGCACTAGATGAGAACTTTGACAGAATTGCCTGACAGAAATGTTGCTTAAAGCGGAGAGGATGCTGATCTTTGTGTGTATGTTGAGGTTTAAAGAGCACCCGTTTTTGACGATCCCTCTGCAGACCCCTTCTGATGTTTTGGATTTATTTATTTATGTAGGAGATTTAGCGCGCAGAGGCGATTCCTTTGTTCTACCCCCCCCCGTTTAATCTGTGGTCCGTTTGATCTGTTCAGTCTTGAAGTATTTTATTTTGCACAGATGATACCTACATTCTGTGAGGGGAGAGGACGTACAAGTTTACTGACATTTTTTACTTGTGATTCAATAGCTCGATGTCATTAGAATGGGTGGTGGTGATGCTGGTGGGGAAAAGAAGCCAAACACTCTGCCTCTTTCTAGAGTGCATCAATATTAAATTTGACTCACTTGTATCCCCTTTTGTTTGCATTTGTTTTCAAATTTCTCATTCTTGTGCCGTTTGGATTTGACTTGAGAATGAACTTGGTTTTTTTTTCTTGCCGTAGCTGAAATTACCGTTTGAAAACACACAGGGTCATAGTTTTTATTTGACAACTAAATATAGTCCAAATTGGAAGCCTGTTTGAAAAGTGTTTTTCAAAGATTTGTATTCCTGCCATCACTCTCGTGGGAGCATCCAGTGACTCAGAACGTCTCTCTCCATTGTTACTAAAATGTTAATATTCAATGGCATCAGTTGAAAGCTGATATGTAATTTGCCACATTTCATTTTCTGTTATCAGGACTTGTTTGTACTTTGGTGCCCCCTTGTGACAAATAATGAAAGTACACGGATAATGTAAGGTTACATTGAAGGAATGTATCATCAGGAGCTGCTCTGCTAATAAAACATGCAAGACAAAACGTGTGACAAATCATGCTGGTACAGACGGCTGGTTCTCAGAATCATATCTTTTATTTGAACTGCACTGAATGCTAAATGTTCACCTTGTACAAGAAACAAATACAAATACTCACACTAAAAACAAAAACGTACTGCTGGCTGCCTCTTCTGCTATTGTTGGGACACTAAGGAGTTTCTGCTATTGCTCTTACAGAGTACAGGACGCCCCAAAGAACCTGGCCTTCAATTGAACAAAAAATATAAGGAGAGAAGAGAGAGGGTGGATCACATAGGACTATGGTTATAGGAACATTTAACTAGGCAATACAAATCTAACAGGACTCTTCAAAACTCTTTAACACCAAAAAACGTGGGATGCGCCTTGTATATAAAAATACCACAATGGAGAGGACGAGGGAGGAGAGAAAATATCCAGACAAACCACATTAGTCTTAGCTTTTTTTTTTTTCGTCAAAGACAATTCTGGGAATAAATGATATCTGCAAAAAAGTGTTTTCCTGAGTCATTAATGAAAGTAAGTTTGCTTTAACCCTTTCCTGTCTTCAGTGTGAAATGTGCTCAAAGAAGAGAGGAGGGGGGGGTGTCACAATCTGTGCGCTGCTGCCACTAAGGTTTCGATTAGCTGTCATCAGAAATGTCCGTTTGACAACAGAAGACTCAGATGCGTCGCACCAAACTTACTTTTTAAGATTCTAAAAAATGTTTCCTTCTTCAGTCACACAGACACGTCAACATCCTCTTAATTAAAGAGGAAAGTTAAATACTTCAGCTGGCAGCTCCCTCTAAATCCATTTAATGTCAAAATTCAGTTACAATCAAATGTATAAAGTGAATGTTTGTTTAGTGTTTACAGCGTAAAAAAAATACTCACGACATGTATCGGCGCAACTTATGGTCTCAACAGTCACAAGTGCAGAAGAAATCCCCCACACTGTATAATTATAAGTGCCCTCAAGTGGTGAAATCCTCTAACTGCAACAGCTGCATTATTGCCAGGAAAGGGTTAAAACCCACACTAGATTACTAGAACTTTTTTTGTTTGACGAATGATAAATATATATAGTAATCCATTTTTAGTCATTCACACAGAAGATTGAAAGAAAAAAAAAAACAATAATTCTCTTGTGAGGCATAATGAGGGGGCTAAACAACACACATTAGTTACATAAGGAGGGCTGGAGCTGGGTGAAGGAAAGGTGGGGAGGGTCAGGAGGAAGTTGGGGGGGGTAAGGTCCAGTAGCACATGATGCCAAAGTTTTTTTCTCTTGTTCGCCCATTGGTGTGTTGAGATGTGGGCCTACGTTTCCCATGAGCTCTGAAGTGTACGGGGCGGGACAGAGTCTCATCGGGTAATCCCGCAGCGCTAAAAACACTCGACTGTGTCCACAATCATAGGCATGTCCCGAAGAAAAAACAAAAAAAAACCATCAGCATCATCAAAGAGTAAAGTCGGTACTGAACCCAAAGAGACAGAGAGTAGAAACTAAAACATTAAAAGTACAAATTCCCCGGAACACGTCCTTTGTTCCCAGTTGCTGACGGACTTAACAGTCGGCCGCTTGTGTTGTTTCACTGTCTCTTGGTCCCAGTTGGTCGGTTGCTTTGCGATTGGTTGGTTCTGAGTGTCGACACGTCGGATGAGATGTTGTCGTTTGTATCCCTTCTGCTGCTATTGCTCGGTGAGATGCTCTCTGGTCTCGCCGTGTTTGGAGGGCTGGTTGGGCGACGGGGCCTGGGAGGGGTGTGTACCAGAGGGCAGTGTGTGGGCGATGGGCACCCCACCTGGCACCATGCCCTCTAACGCCCCAGGGATGCCACCTGGAGCCACTCCAACTACGCCCGGTGGGTATCTGGGGAAGGAGGAAGGTCAAAGGTTAGTGTCACGGGCAGTGCGACTCCCAAAGTGCACGTAGTGTACCAATGTGTTGGCTGGCCCACATACTCAACATCCTGAAAGACAGGATTATCTGAACAAAGCTGAAGTCTAGTGATACTAAAGGCTCTTTCGCACCACAGGGGGAGAAGAAGTGATATTATAGTATGTCGAGATAAGTCATAAAAAAGTATATTAAAGTATATTACTGTAAAAGTAGTTCAGAAAACAAATTCCCACTGTGAACCCGAGGTGCTCCGTACAATAACATTCAACACAGAGGAAGGGGAAAGGATAATGCAGCTCAGAGACGTTAAATCCAACAGAAGTTGCCCAAAACCCCTTAAGAAGGAAATCACAAAGCATGACTCCATCCGTGAAACTGCATCTGAATGGATTCGTGTCATGCTTATTGAGAAACTCAAAACCCACATTCGCTACCATCCATCTCCACTTTGTGTTCAGTCAAACAGGTGAGTACTGGGGAATCATAGAGGGGGGGGGGGACACACACATCATGTGAGCTCAGGTGAGAGGGTCTTATCCGGGACCTCCAGACAAGAGGCTGTAGTCCCGGATGGTCGTATTTACCTGCTCCTGATCTAGGCAATAATTTTGTCGTGGGGGACACCGGTTGTTATGCCAGGAAGAGTTTGGTTCACTTGGCTGCGTGAAAGAAACACATGGAGGCGGACATGCTGAGTTCAGGAAGAGCCCACAGGTGGGCAGAGAATTACCATTCTACCACTACAGAGAACAGTTAGTGAGGGTACAGGGCACTAGGGTCTACAGCAGAGCACTGAGTTCATTGATAACTTGTTAAAAACTGTCCTCAAGCAATTTAAGAAAATACATTTTTAAACAATGAATATAGGGGGGAAGGGAGCCAACATGAAATGTGAGCTCCTGTTAACATTGCAAGAAGGAAAAGTAAATGCTGATAACAATATATCAATAATCTATCATAAAGTATCTACATGTTCTACATCCACAATGCTAAAATAATGCAGGGCAGCTTTTCTTTTTTTTTTTTTTTCTTAAAATGGGAAAGGCGACATCTGCTAGCCATCTGCATGTTCAGTCCTTACCTGTAGGCGGCGCCGTTGAGCTCAGGGTGGACGCCTGGCTGATCCATAACTGCCCACGGTGCCGTGGTGACAAAGAACTCCTTGTTGACGCAGTTTCTTAGGCTGTCAGGGATACGGCCTGTCATATGAAACATACACACACACGCGCACACGCGCACACACACACAGTTCAGACTGACAAGCATATCAGGCTTGGATACACAAATGCAAATTAAGACTATTTAACAATCTGGATGTTCTCTCGTAGGCCGGCCCCTGGGCTCTGCTCAGAGTCGGGGAGCTAACGATGACATCTATTAAGAGGTCCAGATTTAATAAAGGCTACCCGGGGCCTATTGAAGTGGAAATGTGACATCTGGGAAAGAAAGACGTGCAACAGGTCACATAGCAGGCTGAGGCTGCGGCCTGTTCATCAAGCAGTGGAGGGTCGGACAAATACTCAATGTTGTGTTTTGTCAGACGTGACAAGAACAGATAATAAATCCGCTTGTGTGGCTGCGTACCGGTGATGGCTCTTCGGATCTCGGTGGCGGCTGCCTCCCTCATCTCCAGAGAGGCCTGCTCACTGTACCAGGCTGTGTGAGGTGTGCAGATCAGGTTTGGAGCGTCTTTCAGTGGGCCCTGAGCAAAACTATAACACACAAACACATACACATAGAGGGTGAGAAAAATGGAGAAAAGGACAAATGATGATAAAATATTGAATAAAAGACACAGGAGCAAGGGTAACCAAAGTTGTGTTGTTCTTATCTTTGTGAATTATGATGAATATAATATGAGACCACAGCCCTCCTCCATTAAATGTGTTTTGCTTGTTGTTACTACATTTGGATGTTTGACCTTCACTGAGCCGAGTTTGACACTTTGTCTGTTTTCACATTCTGCTGAAGAGGAAACTTTCTCTGTGCTGAAACACTGAGAACAGACTTCACAGCAGAGAAACCAGCAGGAATCAAATTAACAATATTTGCATGTTCATAGATTTTTTTTTTTATGAGGTAGGAGTTGATGTAACCATTTTATTTTGTAACTAATTGAAGTTTTCTGTGGAAAAAAAAAACATGTCTGACACAAATTATTATTCAAAGCATTTGTATTTGATGTCTTATGACATGTCTGGAGGGGATCGTTAAGTTTTTAATGCTCTCGTGATGGTAAAATTGTCATAAAAACATCATGTGAGGAATGGCAAGTGGCAAAGAGAGTGCTTTTTGTCAAATAAACGAGAGCAGTTTAGCACAGTTGTTACATTTTAGAGCCGACAGCTGAACAGTGACACTGGATATTCTGAGGAGTAGATATTATGTGTCCGTTGAGCCATGCAAGTTGGTGCATTAAAATACTGCCATGGGCATTTCTGTGTCTTTTGCTTTGTGTGAAAGTATCAAATACGTTTATTTTTATTGGAGCAATCACAAAGCTCATTCATGTGCATAGCTCATTTAATATTTGAACCAATTCTTATTCAGTTTTTTGGTATACAATTTGCATGACAATGATCTGGAAACATGGCTAATGGGAGGAAAATGTCAGATCTTGTTATTCACACATGCCACAATCTTCTTCCTCCTTTTCCAAAACGTCCTTTCCTTCATCTCTGTCCTCCCATGTGGCACTGAAAGACAGATCCAGCTCCCCCTCCTCTTCCTCTATTCCTGTAACACCTAGCCTGGTTGTGTGTGTGTGTGTATGGTGTGTAACGCCTCAGTGGCGCCCTGAATCAGTGGGATGGAGGGCCAAAGTTATGAAACATTCCCCCTGTTGACATATTGGGTCAGCGGAGCATGAGTTCCAGCTTCGTCGGGCTGAGTTTCAGTCTTCACGGTCAGCTGAGCATCCGGCCCAGAAACAAGCAGCCTCCAAACTAGCTAACTGTCTCTGATGCGTGAACAACAATCCCCAGCAGTCACCCCCTGAGAGGGGGAACATGGTTCTCAGAAAGGTGAATAAACCGGGAGGTGTATCAAGCCGTTTGCCCTCTGGTGGGAGCGGGAGTGCAAATGGAGATTGTAGCTCAAAGCTGCAGTGCAGTGACGAGACAGCAGGCCAAGAGGGAGGAGGTGAAGGCGCTAAAAGTCAAACGTAGCCCGTGATGAATGCCTAAATGTTTACAGGGTGACATTCAGTACGACGTTTTCAAATCAATAATTACTGATGATGATCGACAGCAACCTTGGTAAAATTTGATTTTAACAAATGTTAAATTAAACGGTTTCCTACAAGCATTTTCTCATTTGGAAAACGTTTGGCTTGTACTCTAAACCTTAGTCGTTTCCTGTGAAGATGGAAGTTTATTTTGAAAAGACAGTATGCATGTAACAAGCGAAAACAGACTCATGTTGCTGGACTTTTGCAGGAAAAACGCACGAAAAGTGAGGAGTAATTTTTCGTAAGATATCAATAAAACGGGGATGAATTTATATCATTGTATAAAGAGAGTGACATGAGAAGATCAATCTCATGTCTGTAAGTTAAATCAGCTATAATCACTATTTTAAAGTGATTAGTGACTCGTCTAAAACATTTTAAAAAGGAATAACTTCAATAGAATCATTCTATACAATGTAGCTTCTTTACATTCTATTAGAATGTAAAGAAGCTGCGGCGGCCCTCATTATCGACTTTCCTTTTTTTACCTGCCGTAACATGACAGGTCAAGGGTCAGAGCCCATTTCAAACAGCCAGACAGTTACAGAGTGGTGCTGCCACCATGAGGTAAAAAGAGGAATTGCATGTTGAATTTGTATGATTTATTCATTCCGTTTTGACTGTGCTGGCGGGCCATACATAATGCATTTTAAGACAGAAGGTGCGGGCCATATAAAATCTGACCTCGGGCCGTGATTGAACCGCGGGCCAGACTTTGGACATGCCTGGTCTAAAGAGTGTATAGTGTTGCTCCTCTCCACACCAAACCATCCACCGGCACCTTTAGCTGTATTTAGTTTCCTCTAATAGGAATAAACGGAGCTCTCTCCATCTCCTGACTTCCATTAACTTCAGAGCCCTGGAGGAGCGTTTGAGAAGAGTATGAGGCGTCTTTAACTCGTCATACATCTGCCATTGTTTCTGGCTGTGTGTCCGACATTCTTTCTCTTCGGCTGTTTAAGGTTCTCTGTCTCATTGACTGGGTGTCATTTGTTGCTTTCGTTCCCTTCCTACACACCCATCTATTCCCCTGTCTGGATCTGTCTCTCTAAGTGAAGCATTCGTCTGTCTCCCTTTGAGAGGGATTTGTGTGTGTGTGTGTGTGTGTGTGTGTGTGTGTGTGTGTGT